AGCCTTGGGGAACACCGCTCGTGACCGGCCGCCAACTGGATGTAACTCCATTCACCACAACTCTCTGGGCCCGGCCGTCCAGCCAGTTTTTGACCCAGCGCAGAGTCCACCTGTCTAAGCCGTGAGCTGCCAGCTTCTCTAGGAGAATGCAAGGCCTTTGGCTTCTGCAGGTGGTCTTTAACATAGAAACGTGTTTTGTTAATGCGAAGAAATTGGGCTAGAGTAAGACAGTGTCAAAGAATATAGAGCAAGAGATCAAGCAGCTTTGTGTATGAAATATTTTAATGTCCCCTGGGAACTGTATCAAACAACAGCAATGTAGCTGCGGTTCAGTGCACCAGCTGCAGGGTATGCACTGCACTGATCAACATCAAGAGGGGAGCCAGTTGTCAAAATTCAAGTTGAACGCTGCTTACATACTTAATAGCAAATCCTAGATGTGAAAAACTACTAGTTGTATGTATTTATCTCTCAATTTCAACGGGTCTTTACATGGGGTAATTAACTGTTTAATGATACTCACTCCCTAGAAGGAACTGCAGAGGATGACACAAAACAAGTCACAGACACACCAAGTAGTTTACAGAGAATTCACATAAACTGCCGTCTGCCTTTCCCACCCCTGTACTCCCTACCTTGCCACCTTTTGGAGGACCTTCTGGGGACAATGACAGGAAGAACAGGGAGCTGGGAAAGGGAGTAACATGACAGGGGGCAGAGGACGTTCCCTGTTCAGCCATGGAAAGACATTAAGTCAGCTCAATCCAGCTTGTGTAACTATACCTAATTTGGATCTCTGTCCTATATCCAGCTGCCTCTTTTGCCTCTAAAGCTTTACTAATAAATTGAGTCTTAGGGGGAGCAAAACTGCTAGACACTCTCAAACCACTTGTGAAAGATTCGAGTCAGGAGATGTGGGCTGGCTTTTGGTGAGCTATTTAACAAGTCCAAATATCCTTTAACATCAACAAATCTGTGATTTCCTGCTCTTGCAGACAACAAACACATCAAGAAAGAAAACAACAAAAACACTTAGTGATCGTACACAAATTGGATGTAAGTAAGTGCCAGTCCTGGGCTCAAAGCTGCATCTCTATCAAGAAGGGGCAGCATCTCAGCAGCTTGACAGGTCACACTTTGGGTAATAAAGGATGAAATATTAAAAGTTCTAATTAAAGTACAGCACCAACAGCTCAGCTGTCTTCACAGTGCACTCGGATACCAGCCCATCTGATGTAGCTTAGTCTGACTTAATTAAAGGGGTCTCACAGCTGTATGGCATGGCAATCCTCAATGTGGATGAGAAAAAATCCCCTTCCTCAGCCCTCCCACCTCATCTCAAACAAAACACAGCACCAAAAATATATGTGCCAACTGAAATATGCAAGGTGAAATCCAAGTAAAATTGCAGCATGGATAAACACAACCCTAGACTATGGGTTTGTGCTAAGTGGCATGGGAAAAAAAACTTATATTTTTTACAGCAAAACATAGGAGAAAAATATCTGTTATATGTAGTTTAGAATCCAGTGACAATTTACATCTTAAGTTATTAATAACAATTGCAGAGCACTGTGATAATCTTATTGGAAGTGTGTTTGCAATCTAACCTGAACATGGGCATTGTTAGTTTGACTTACTTCAAAGTTAAATGACATAATCCATGGTCAGTGAAAAGAAGAATCTGTAAATTCCTTTGTTGGTACCTTTGGAGAAGCTGCTAATATTATGGAGAAGCAGAGGGAAACAGTGAGCAGGAAAAATTTAAGAAAAATAATTTCTACATTGATTAAACTGGATTTCTATAAAGTACTGCTAGTAATTGCAAAAAAAAAAAGACAAACTAAATGCAATGTGTGGAACTAAGAAAGAATACTCTAGTTAATATATAACTCGTTTATACTGAATAGGGGTAGAATAAAAGTCCCTATTACTATCAGGAATGATTTTTTTAATGGATAAGATACTGTTCAATTATCTCATGCCACCATCTTCAAAAAGTACTCTGAATTGCTAAAAAAACTCAGTTTAAAAAAATCCGGTTTCTCCATCTGCACAAGATTTTCCTCTTCTTCACCACCTTTCAAATAAGCTATCTCAATAATTCACACATTATCAAAAAAACCCCCACACTAACCTTTCTGAAGACGGAATTGTTAGGGCAATGTCTTGTATGGTTTAGGTATGTAAGTAACTGACATTTTCTGCATGAAAGTTCATAGAAAGG